CTGCGGCGCACACTGGGGGCTGCAGACAGAGCTAGCAGAAAAAGGCAGGGAGTGAGCAGGACCCAGCCCCACCCCCAGCCTACCTCCTTGGGGAGGGAAGGAGCCCCAGCTTTCTTGTGGCTGGCTGGAACACGGGAGAGGGTCTGGGGTAATGTACCACCCGAGCCTTGCCCAGCCTGGCTGGAATTGGGACCATGAGGGGGTGCACTTGCACCTTTTTCACACACACGTGCACATAGGGGCCTGAAATTACACAATGAAGGGGAAAGAAGAGAAAGAAGGAAAGAAAGAAGAGAGAAAGTACAGAAGCGGGGCAAAAATACATGATGGAACTGTCCTTTCCCTGTCCAATTAAGCTGCCCATCACAACTGTCTCATCTGTAGGTAATTCTGTCCCATGACACTGTTCATGTTGATATTGTCATTGCTCATTACATGTATCATAGAAATGCATGTGCTAGTGCTGTACAGATACAGAGTAGGCGACAGTCCCTGCCCTAAAGAGTTTCCAAAGCAGACAAAGGATGGGCAGGAAAACACAAAGTGACTGACTCTATTGCTGACTTGCAGCTAAGTAGTAGAGCTAGGAATTGAAACTACATATCCTGGGCCCTTATCCAGTGCCCTAGCTAGGGACGCACCCTGCTTGCTAAAGGCTAAGTGCTATGCTTCCCTGACAGCACAAAGACACAGCTAGTGTCACTTTCGCTCAGAAGGAGGCATGCTACAGTGGTCTGAGTACAGGTCTCAGTTCAGGGCACTCATTCAGATCAATCCTAGTTCTGACATTCACTCCCTACGGGATCCATGGCAAATCGCATCTCTCTGAAGCTTGGATTCTCCATTAGCTTGTTCCTTATAATGTCATTTACAGTTCTGCATAGCTGGTGTCATATCTGATCTATCATCACCAATGCAAATGGAGAATTCTGGCTTCTCTTCAACTCACTTTTTTAGTCTCCGTTCTAAGCAAAATGAGAACCTCTGAATTATCAGGTGGAGTCAACAGGAGGAAAAGCAAACTAGCCCATATTCATAAGAGGGGCACTGGTGTCTGATTTCAGTCGGGGAAGGGAAGGGGCATAACTATGTATTTGCAAATAGAAGATAAAAAGGATTAGACACATATCTGTGGAGAGTTTTGCTGTATTTTTCTTTCAGACAATTTACAACTAAAGAAAATAAATCCTTTCCCAGCCCATGTCCTGGAACATGGACAATGGCTGGAGGATTTGTACATCAGCCTCAGGAACTGCAGCCAATACACAAGTTCCAGGAGTCAGGATGGAGACCTATAAATCCTGTGGAAGGGCCAGCCAGCAGCTGAGACACCTTTAGGCCCTAAGCCTTGATCCAAGAAGGGGATTTCTCCTGGCTTTGAGACTCTAGCTCATTTTGTGCTAGTACAGCAGGTACCGGCTAACATTGGTGATTTGCTCACTCCTGACATTAAGCAATATTCCAGAGCTATTGGCTTCAATGCCCAGAAAATGCTTCCTGCCACCAGCCAAGACAATAGACAATAAAAGGGGTCAACCTTCCACTTTGTGGTCTTGTGACCTTGGGTGCTTTACAAAGAACATTTTCCTCCTAGTATAGTTATATCTGTGCAGGGAGTTTTGCTGAGATCTTTGGGCTTTTAAATCATTATTATTTCAAAGTTTTCCTCCAAAACAACGCAGATAAAAGGGGCTCGATCGACAGCTGTGAAGGCCCCTATTTATCTAGAAGCAGGCCCAACAACCAAGCAAGCTTCCCCCCCACACACTCTCCCCTGCCAAAGTGCCATAGACTGACCTAGAGGGACCACCATGCTCCTCTTGTGCACTCCATAGGCGCATTATGGGAAGTTTCTCTTCTGAACCTTCAGGGGCTTGGTACCAGACTACAGGGAGCAGCTTCCCTGGCCAGTGCCTGCACCACGCTGGGTCACACGCAGGGCAAAAAAATGTAGGCAAAGGAAAATGCAGAGATTCAAATTCATCCTCTGAGTAGCTGACTGGGGGGAATTACCCAGGAATGACTGTGCCTCGTTCACCTTGAGGTTTCCCTATAGACCATCCCAACCATATGGCAGTCTTTGTGTTACAGACAAAGTCTGGGACATTCCACCTCTGACACCCCTACTCACGGTATAGTTGCAATGATGTAGGTCTCCATAAAAGGCACTGGGGCTTCTTTATGATCAAACAAGAGCTTTGGAGCAGGGCTCATAACTTTCCTATGTTCTGTAAATTGACCAGCAGGTTAGTTCTTCTATAAACAGTCATGATGTAATATTGATATTTCCAATTCTGCTAATATGGAAATCAATGGCAAAGCTCCCAGGCTAAAACAGAAACAGGATTTGACTAATTGGGTCATGGAACTACTGTATTTTACAGTATTGAATCCTTGTCCTGCATTGTAATCCCCAGCACTGCACGGCAGTATCTGATATTGCATTGCACTGTACTGAATTGCACTACACTTGCAGGATTGGCTTGCACTTTGTTGTACAGCAGCACATTGTACTCTATTGTGTTGCTCTGTGCTGGGCTGTAGGGCACTGTACCACACTCCACTACCAGCCAGCCTGTCACTATCAGCTGCCTTAATAGTGGAATACTGTAAAGGCTTCACAAGGGAGCTATGCAGATTAATTAGTTAATGTGGATAACAGACTTGTGGCAGCAAACAACTGACATCCCAGGGTATGTCTACACTACCCTCCTAGTTCGAACTCATTCCACGAGGAGTAACGGTAGTTCGAACTAGGAAGCCTAGTTCGAACTACCTAGTTCGTGCCCCGCGTAGCCGCGCTGCACGGGGTTCGAACCAGCGGGGTTTTAAAAATGGTGGCGCCCCGCTTATGCAAATGAAGCCCGGGAAATTCAAATCCCGGGCTTCATTTGCAAGTGCGGTATGCCTACATTACCCCGCTAGTTCGAACTAGCGGGGTAGTGTAGACATACCCCCAGTTCCCAGCTAAACTTTGGTTCCTACTGACTCATTGCAACTCCACAGAAGGGAGTGGATTAAATTCAGCTTTGAGTAGGCAGGTGAGCTCAGTTCCAATGGGCTTCAACTGAGGTTGCATCTTTTGAATTTGGCGCAGTATTGGTGTACTGTGGCCGTCCCTGGAACATCTCTGTTCCTTGGCCAGGTAGCACTACATCACACTATAAAAACAAGCTGCATTGTGTTGCAACTTGATTTTGTTCATTCCTTGTTGTTCTCTTTGCTTTTCAAGGCTCCAGCCTGAAGACCCCCCCTCTGCCTTTCTCTCTTTGCAGAGTCTGTTTTTCAGGCATCGGCGTTTCCTCTCCTGTGTCCTTCAGATCATTAACTAGCTGCTCTCTCTCTTCTTTCTCTCCCTCGCTCTCTTTTCTTTTGAACATATCAGACTACTGGAATCAAAGAGGCATTTCAGTGACTCAGGCGTTTCCCATTGCCCTATTCCAGCATCCTCTACTCTTAATGCTGAGAGCTTTTCATGTCCTATTTGGAACTGATAGGAAGCCCTTTCATTGTTTCACTACATGGATATTAACACTGATGAAGGAAATGCTCCATCTGATAACAGAACCGTTGAAAAAAGCACCGTTTCCAAACGAGCAAACTCTGAGACAGTGGATTGCTGCTGCCCACACCAGCTCAACCCTTTTTACCGAGTTGGGCCAGGGTATAAGCAGGACCTGACTCTCTTGGGGCTGGTCTACACTGGAGGGGAAGGTCAACCTAAGATATGCAACTCCAGCTACTTTAACTGCGTAACTGGAGTTGACATCTTAAATCCTCATCCACACAGTAGGTGGTCTACAGCAGCAAACACTCCCTTCAGCTTCCCTTACTCCTCACAAGGAGCAGGAGTACCAGTGCGAATGGGGAGCGCTCTCTGAATTCAATTTAGTGCATCTTCTCCAGACCCGCTAAATCAAACCTGGGAAGATTAACTGCAGCAGTGTTGATCTTCCCCATAACGCACACTTTCCCTTGAAGCCCACGCTGCTCTGGGATTCACACCTCTTCACAGTCCTTAAGGAAAAGGGACTATCCCCTGCCTAAGAAATGATCATTGGTCATTTTTATTCTTCAGCTGAGAACAGAAGCCACCATGCTAAGTCTTTATAACCAAGCAGAAAGGCCACAATGACCTAATGGATTCATTGGCTTGTGGAACTCAACAACATCAGTGAATTTAAATCCAGGATGGATACAGATCTAGATAGCTGCAATAGTTGAGTAAATTCCTGATGGGAAATGAAGGTTTTGTGGCTCAGATGACTGATTCATGGTTCTTCTTTGCCCAGATGTTTCAAAGCTCCAAGTTATTACTATTTAATACCATTTAGCTTTTCTATGGCTACTTTAGCACCTTCCATCCCAGGATCTGAAAGCATCTTGCAAGATTTAATTAGTCAATCAATCCTCACAGCCTTTTCTATACATTGAGGAAACACCATTATCATTTCACAGAAGGACAAACTGGAATACAGACAGATAGACATGTTGCTGAAGGTCACATAGCAGGTCATTAACAGACCTAGGAAAAGAACCCTGGACTCCTGTCTCTCAGGGTATGTCTACACTACCCCGCTAGTTCGAACTAGCGGGGTAGTGTAGACATACCCTATTTTATTCCTTAGAACACATGTTGAAGCAATGAGAAGGTTGCTCTTGCTGCTGTCCTGTTGTTCTCCTCCCTCATATGTGAATGTGTTATGTAGCAGCGACGCTCCTTTCTCCCTCGGTTGGAACTAATGGTCTACCAGAATCAGCAGAGATTTTCCAAAAAAATGGCTATATTTTGCGGTTTTGAATGACACCAGAAATAAACCCATATTGGGATCCTAGCTGTGGCTCAAACTTACATCAAGCACTCTGGTCCATTTTTTTTATTTCTTTGCAGACCATGGCTTCCCCGCTTATGCAAATGAAGCCCGGGAAAGTCAAATCCCGGGCTTCATTTGCAAGTGTGGTATGCCTACATTACCCTCCTAGTTCGAACTAGGAGGGTAGTGTAGACATACCCTCAGTCTTGTGCTCCCAGAGGAGAACACTGCCTCTAAAATTTGGCTCCAGTCATGGCAAGTGAATTTGCCCACTGTTCAAATACAATGTACACAAAGAAGCACAGAGCTGCCTTCAGGCTGAATCCCAGTCAACTTTCCTTTCCCAATAATATTTTCTCTAGCCCTTGTCAAAGAGAAGTGCAGTGTCTGTTTATCAGGCCTCCTGTTTTCATTTTCTCTCTTTGAGCTCCTTGAAGACAGAAACCTTGTCCATCTTAAGAGGAGGATGTGGCACCTGAAGGGGAGAACAGAATGTTTAAATCCCTAAAAAGAGCAGTCAAACCAACCGATTATGTTTTTATAGGACAATAATATAGTACATATTGAATAAAGGCTTTTATATGAAAGCTTGTAATGTCAGGAACTTGATGGTCAAGATGAGATAAGTGTAGAGACTGGGGTTACAAACCATCCATTGTCCAACTCAGGAAAAGACAATGACAGACCATTCAAGTTCATGGGAAGACACTGCAATATCCCAGCTATCATGTCAAAAGGGAATTTCCCCACTCTGAATAAATCATGAGTCACTGTCAGAGAAAAAATAAAAAGGAAAATGCCTTTTAGAAACAGGCTTGAGAATGAGACTTTTTATCCAGAACTGAACAGACAGATTGGAGCAAAAGGTTGTCGGTGAACACTGGTTCTCCCTATCCTAGGGCATAGGCTGGGAAACTGTTAGAAGGCAATAGGTAATTTGTCTGAGAAGAGGGATTTTATCCAGCATGGACATGTAAAACCTGAGGTTTTTGAGGTGCTGCTATATAGTTGCTCACCCTCACGATTTCATCTTTGACTCTGTTTTTTCTAGTTAATACACTTTTTGTTTATTTTTCTCCCCAACAGGTCTCTGGTGTGCAAACAGCTGGGAGAGTGTATGTGCAAAGTCAGCTGGTATCTGGGGTGCTGGTTCCAGGCCTACAAGGGTGGCAAACCAGACAGAAAGGATCAAGTGGCTGGTGCTTGAGAACTCAGAAAGGACAGAGGTGGGGAGGCTCTAGCCTGGAGCGGCTGCTGCAAAGATTAACTAAGTTTACTGGTCTGGGTGGGCTTAAAATGTCAGAGGGCAGGGGTGAAAGTAAAAGGGAGGACTTACAGATGCACTCGAAGCTGGTATGCTTGGTGGTGGGGGAGGAACTGGGCCCCTGAAAGGGGGAGGGGAGGCTCAGGCAGAAAGGGTGGTTCTGGGCAGACTCCCCCAGACAGCCCTTTGTGGATGCCGAGGCCTAGACAGCCAGGATCCCTCGGCCCTTTTAAACTGCTGAGCCCTGGGGCAGCTGCCACTTTTGCTTCCTCCCCATCAGAAGCCTTGCGGTAGGGTCCAGCAGTGTTGCCATGGCAGAGCTTAACCTCAGCTATGTGGGGGCAGGAACTGGCAGCCAGTTCCTACCATTATGCCATACCAGCTGTACTGGCCCGCTTTCACCTCTGATAGAGGGTAAATGCAGAGCTGCTATCGGAAGGAACACCAGAGCTTCCCTCAGCACTAAAGCCGCACAGAAAGTTTAAAAAAAAAAAAATCTTGTAAGTCTGAAGCAAAAGAAGTGGCCTGTCCCTTGCCCCATCTCAGTCACAGGGAAGGGCCCGCCTGAGGTGTGCCCACTTTTACTGCCCTCGAGCAGTCAACTCGGGCATGCGATCGCACAGGAAGCCACAGATGCCCTTTACCTCTGGATAGGAACACAGGACTTGCCCCACTGACTCAGACCCATTTGCTCTTCTAGTCCAATGTCCTGGCTCTGACAGAGGCCAGTCCCAGATGGTTCAGAGGAAGGTGTCAGAACCCTAGCATGGGTAGATGTGGGATAATCCACCCCCCACGTTAGTTCTCATCCCAGTCCCTTCCAAGATGCTGCCATTTCCCCCTACGGCAGTCCCAATGCACACAAAGGCACATGCCTTCCAACATCCAGTTGTGTTCTGACGTCAGACCCCAAAGGGCTCCCCATCATGAATCCTCATTGGCAGCTCTTTGCTCATGCCACTTCTCTCCCTGTAGCTCTCTCTGCTCTTCAAAGCGATGAGTTGGGTTTTGATTATTTAGGGTGTTTTGTTGTATTTCTCCAAAGCTGGCTGGGGCCCTCAGTTTTCTATCCCATCCTGAAAGTCATTTCCTTTTGCTGTGGCCACTCTAATCAATTAGCTGCCTATAAATAGCCTCGCTGATTTCACTGTGACATCCTCAGTGCATTGTCACTGCCAACTTCCTTCTCTACCTGGGGAGCTGTTTTTTTCCACAGATCAGAAACAGTTCCAAGGGAGGTGAGGGGAGGGCCAGGGAGAGGGTGGAGTGGGCAGTCAGAGACCTGGTGTTCTGCTGAGTTTAATGGCTCCAATCTCCGGTGTTGTTTTCCACTACGTGCCAGGCCCCTCCCTTTCTCATGATGAAGGTATTTAGTGTGCAAAGCTGTTGCTGCCCTAAATCATTCATCATGCCACTAAATATCTGGACCAAATATCTTATTAAGTGCTAAGTGCCATAACTCCCTTATGTTTCCTGGCCTCAGCTATTAAGTGCTAAGTGCCATAACTCCCTTATGAACAATTGTTTCCTGGCCTCAGAACTGCACGCAGGCAAAGCCTCACCAAAAGATACAGAATACAAGACCCCTCCTATCAGTAAGGTGCTTGAGGTAGCATCCAACAATCTACGGGTGACCAGAGTGGGTGCACCTGGTAATTGGTGATGGGCCACTCTCACAAGGTTTGGGTGGCACTTGATAATGGGACTGCCAGACCAGGACAGACCCGTGGTCCAGGCAGTCCAGTGTCCTCTCTGCAAGAGTGGCCAGAACCAAATACTTATGGAGAAGATGCAAGAAACACCAGAGGAAGGCCACATCCTTATCTCTAATGGCTCAAGATTGGCTTAAATCTCAAAACATTACATTTTATATCCCTTCCAAATAGATTTTTTAGTACTATTAATTCTAAATATTCTTGTTATCCACATAATTTCCCAATTCCTTGATTATCTTGGTAAATTCTTGGCCCCAAAGACACACTGTGGAAATGAGTTCCGCTGTGTGAAAACCGATTTCCTTTTATCAGTTTCGGATGTGTCACTTTTCAGTTTCACTGAATATTCCCTTGTGCTTTTGTTGTTAGGAGACGGGGAGACCACAAGCTCCTAATCTACCTTCTCTAAACTTTAAAGTTGTGTATGGCCACTATCCGCTCCTTAGAATCCCACCATCAAGACCCTTCTCCGCCAAATCATAATGGCTGACTAAGCAGAGAGGCAGAGGAGATACCTGAGACTTACTTCATCTATTTATAAACAGAAGAATGCAAATGAATATTACATGCATTCTATTGTATCCCTCTCCCCTTACACTTTTTAGGTCCTAGTCTTTGTAACCTATTTGTGGCAAGGGCCATATTTTTGTATCTCTAGAGCACTCAGCACAATGGGCTTTGCAAGCCTGATTTGGCCCTCTAGCAGTATAAATATTAAATAATCATAATGCTTACTTGAACTTTGAGCCAAACTTCTTGCTTCTCTAGAACTGGAGCGGCAATCTCTCCTTTGCCATCTCCTTGGAATAGTTATGATGCATGCTTCTTGCTTTTATTCAGGCTAGAACGACCACAAAAACTGACCTTGTTCACAGTGGTTTGGCCCTTCCACTCCAAGCTGGAATCAAAAGTGAAACAGAATTAAAACAAAATAGTAACCGACTGGTGCCAAATTTCAAACGAGGCCCAGCTTGAGTTCTGGATGGTTTCTTAATAACAACACCTTACACTTCTATAGCCTCTTCTGATGGAAGCTATCAGCACACTTCACAAGCAGTTAATTAAACTTCACAGCGGTCTTTTCCCACAGGGGCAAAGGGAGGCACAGTGTACTGAAGAGATTCACTCAATCATACAGCTACTCAGAGACATAAAGAGAATCCAGGTGACCTGGTTCCATGCTTCAACCAACTGCCCTACCCTGTTTCCTTCTTTTTTAGCTTAACATGAAATGATGGGTTCAAGTGTCTCTAATGATTCCCCACCTTCAGAAAGTGCCCATGGGAGTGGGGGCAGGAGGGTCATTCCAGCCCAGCTGGGTTGGAGCATCCCCCCATCCCTACCTGTGGGGCTCCTGGTCCTGCCGTGGACCTGTCTGTGGCAGGCCCTCTGCAGGGCTGGAGCAGCCCCCTGCCGGTGGCAGGTGGGGAGCTGCTCCGTCTCCCATCGGTTAACCTTAACCAGTAAGCCTCTACAGTGTGCTCAGGTCAGCCTTGCCTATGGAATAACCCAGCGCTCCTGCAGCGAGTCAGATTTTGGCAGTTTTTATGGTTTGCCTCATTGGTACACGTAGCTAGGGCCAGTGTTCCCTGTAAAAGACATGGGGTCTTTTCAAGGCGATTTCTCTATTACCAGATCTCCCAAATGTGTCACAGATTCCCTGTGTTGCCAGTTTATCCACAAGAAGCAGTCACTTTGGGTATCAAGACAGTACTTCTCTACTCCTTGCCCGACTGTCAACTTTGACTGGTTTACATGTGAAACCCTTAAAAAACAACAAATAGTCCAACAGCACCTTAAAGACTAACAAAACACGTGTCCATGTTTTGTTAGTCTTTAAGGTGCTGCTAGACTATTTGTTGTTTTTTAAGGTTTTCCAGTGACAGACTAACTCGCCTACCCCCTGAAGCTTTTGGTTTATATGTGGGTAGATAAAGTCACCCAGTGCTGATATGCCCCTTTCATCAGCTGCGTGGTGCCATATGCCGGGCTACCCTCTGGCCAGTCCTTGAAACTGTATCTGGAATTCAAGTGCAAGTCCTGAGAACTCTCTTGCTAGCAGTGGAATCTGTGGCTTTGACAGCTGGATTCCAACGGAGATGATAAAATGCCAGGAATCACTGCAGGCAAATGGCCAGAGGTTCCATCCCAAACAATTTCAGCGCAGCATCTCTTCCACACTGAGACTGGGGCAGGTGGTAGCCAGAGATTTCACCCGCTAAATGCTCTGAGGGATCATTTTGCCAGAGTTAATCCCCACAGAGATAAAGTGAAGATGAGGGCTTCTTCTCCCCTCCCCCCAATTTGTGTTAATGGTGATTCTACATCTGACCTCTGGGCATGTAGGGTTTCCTGCCTCCTCCCTCTGGCCAGGAGATTACCGTCTGGTACTTAGAGAGTTTCCTTTCGCCCAGCTCCTTCCCATTGTTCTGGAGCCAGACAACAACTGGGTGCCTCAAGGTCACTTCACACCAACTGCGGGGTGGGTAATAATCTCCTCTCAGTGTAGCTGGGCAGAGGCCGAGAAACATCTTGCTCTGATGTTTACAGCTCCATGTTTGATCAGGGATCCTGGGAAACAACTCATTGCCTTTCCCAGGAGAGAGGCATGTTGACCTCGTGCTCAAAGCACTGGGAGTAAGGAAATCCTGAGCATTAACCCCCAGCTCTGGCACTGACTCTCTGCATGGGCTCCAGCCCTCTCTTAGCCTTCCTGCAGGCCACAATCACACCTGGAGTAAGGAGGGCAGTGGAAGCTGAGGTTTCTGACACCAGAGCTTTATCTGAGCCTTGGTTCTGTCTCCCCACTGCCACATGAGGAGGAAGATGCTTACACAGGGGCTGAGAGAGACGTGAACAGAACAGCTCAAGTGCAAAGTATGAAGATACCCTGGTGCTGGGATTCTCAGACTTCATTGCACTGTGACCCTCTACTGACAACAAAAATTACTCCATGACCCCAGGAGTGGTGACCGAAGGCTGAGCCTGCCCTGGGTTCGTGAGAGGAGGGTAAAGCTTAAGCCCCACTGCTCTGGACAAAGGGGCCAAACCTGAGGCTCAAGAACAGAGGAGCAAACAGACTTGCCAGGCCTCTAGGTAAAGTGTGTGTGTGTGGGCAGCCCCAAGCACCTGGAAGGGGCCGGGCTAGGGCAGCCTGCCCGGAGAGCACCCCATGTGGGGCTCTGGCAGCAATTTAGAGGGCCAGGGGTTCCAGTCAACACCAGTGTTGTAGGCCTGCAACCTGAACCCTGCTGCCCAGGTTGAAGCCCTCAGGCTTTGGCTTTGGCGCTGGGCAGTGGGGCTTAGGCTTCAGCCCCAGGCCTCAGCAAATCTAAGCCAGCCCTGGTGATCCCATTCAAAGGGGATCCTGACCCACATTTTAAGAATCCCTGTAAATCTAGTGGAAGGTGCCCCGGCTCACACTGCCCTGGGTTAGGTCCCCATACCAACAAGTAAAAGGAGCAAGACATTCCTCCTCCGCTGCCGCCGCTTTTACTCATTCTGGTCATTACCTCTTGCAAAGTGTTTTCCCTCAGACTCTGCTAGAGCAGGGCAGGGCTTCTCAACCTTCTTCCTTCTGAGCCCCTCTCCCCCGCCCCCCCTGCTTTAAGAACTCCTGGCCCACCTGTACCACAACAACTCTTCTGCCTATCCAGTAGATTAAAAGTCATATTAAAGTGACCGCTACCATTAAGCGCACACACATAGGCTACGTCTAGACTAGCATGATTTTCTGCAAATGCTTTTAACGGAAAAGCTTTTCTGTTAAAAGCATTTGTGGAAAAGAGCATCTAGGTTGGCACGGATGCTTTTGCGCAAAAGCGTCCATGGCCAATCTAGACGCGCTTTTGCGCAAAAAAGCCCCGATTGCCATTTTCGCGATCGGGGCTTTTTTGCGCAAAACAAATCTGAGCTGTCGACACTGGCCCTTTTGCGCAAAAGGACTTTTGCCCGAATGGGAGCAGCATAGTATTTCCACAAGAAGCACTGATTTCTTACATGAGATCGTCAGTGTTCTTGCGGAAATTCAAGTGGCCAGTGTAAACAGCTGGCAAGTTTTTCCACAAATGCAGCTGCTTTTGCGGAAAAACTTGCCAGTCTAGACACAGCCATAGAGTAAAGCAAAGGCAAAGATAGGTACAAAAACATTCAAACCGCATACGATTTGTGTGTTACTTATACATTGTGAAACTTGTTGCTGGTGAGGGGTGGGGGGCTGGGGAAAAGGGAGAAATTGCTCTGGGAATTCAAAGGGGCCTAGGGCTCCCAGCTGCTTCTACTGCAGCCGTGGTAGTGGTGGCGGCTGGAGTCCTGGCCCTTTAAATCACTGCCGGAGCAGCACACTGAACACTCTGCATGGCTCTGAAAGCTAGGGGGTTCACCGTGGTCCAGGCAGCACTGAGGGCTGGCTGCCCTGGCCTGCCCCTTCTGCCTGAGGACCTGCCCCTTTCACAGGCACAGATCTGCCTCCACTCACACATTGCTTGGGGGCTGCGATGATTCTTGGCCCTGCTTGTGCTGACCCCCACACTGGGTGGCTTGCTGAGGTGAGTTAGAGGGTGGAGGTGGGGCTGTCTCTCTGAGCCCCACCACTCAGGGTGGAAGACCAAGCCCAAGCCTCACCCTGTGACCAGGGGGTTGAAGCCCGGTTTCTTCTGACAGACCCCTGGTGAATGGCTGTGCTTCAGGGCCACGCGGCTGCTCTAGTAGAACACATGCCGATGCATGAGGGATCTGACCCCAGGGAAAAAGAGAAACTGAGGAGGGCTGGGCAGAGAAGGGGCACCTCACCTCATTGCTTGGTACCGGGAGTGGCGCAGAAAGATGCTGTCTTTAGGACAAGGAAGGATTAGCAGGTGGCATTGGTGGGAGAAGACTGAAACAAGTATGTGACAGGGCAGACAGGTCCCCTCTTCCCCCGGCACTGAAGGGCGGGAAGTAGCCCAGGCCCAGCTGGCTGAGAAGGCCCTGCCCATCCAGCCCTGCTGGGCATGCTCCCAGCAGAGCCCGAAATATGAAAGCAGAGAGGGCCCGGCAGTGCAGGAGGCAGGTGGAGGTGAGACCGCATCCCCACCCGTGTTTCTGCAGCAGCCGTCACCACTGCCTGGGAGACAGGAGCACCTGCAACCCCAGCGCCAGCCCCGACAAGGACCGGTCCGGGAGGCCAGCAGACTACGGGGGTACCAGGGCGTGGCAGGAAGCAGCCCAGGGCACAGGACTGATAGAGCGGCTCGGTGTGTAGCGGCCGGATTCCCCACCGAGCAGGCAGGAGCAATAGTCTCTGCCGAAAGGGCCCCGGGCTGGGACTCGGTGGAGAGGGAGGGCCCGGGTCCCCCTACCACCCTTTTCCCTGCCCTGGACAATCAACCCCCTGGTCAGGAGAGGCTTTTCTTGTGACTAGACCTCAAGGGCTGTATATACCCTGACAGAGGGACCTGAACTTTGTGATGAGGCCACAGGGACCGTATATACCCAGATAGGGGGACATGCACTTTGGGGCTAGGCTTTAATGTACGTATGTAGCTTAACACGGGAGAAGGGTGGTTTTGGGTAGGACCACAAAGGCCGTGCATTCCTGGGGGGGAGGGGGAAACGTGCCCCTTGACAAAGTGGAACAACTTGGGGGAATCCTGGAACCCCCTTACAGGTCTCTGAACCCTAGCGTGCAGTGGGAATGCCTGCCTGTGGTGATGGCATGGGCTTCTCCACTCACCTTGTTTCCTGGTAGTATATTTAGCTGGATATTCCATTGCTAGTCTCATGTGCTGACAGCTGCACACACCCAAACGCTGCTCATGGAAAGTCTGAATTTTAGCAATGTTCCACTCCTGAGAGGGAATCCAGAGAGTGCAGTCTCTTTTTCCAAGGCCTGACTATGAAAAACAACAAACATGGCAGGCCCCATGTACGAAGAAAGCTTTCCACTGCTCGTGAAACACACTTAACATCTCATCACAGGCAGCAAAGAGGCTATTTAGAGTCCATGTGAAAGTGAGGGGCTGACAGTCCTGGCAAGAGATGCGTGTAGTACACACAGTTTCTATGCAAGATTCCCACACATAGCTCTGCCAATGTGCTTTGTGGATGACCTATATCATCCCCTGCTCTTCCAGTCCTGGCCTTTCCCCAAATAGCTCTGCTAATGCACATTAGCCATGACCTGCAGCGCACTCTGCTATTTTAGCCCTGATCTTGCCCACAATAGCTCTGTCAATGCCCCTTAAGCCTGAGTTCCCTGTAAGCTGAGCGCTTGGGCAGCTACCCAGGAGATTCACCCAGGAGAGATTCAAATGCTTGAATCGTAGTTCTACCACTGTGCTCCTGCTCTAATTTACTGTCCTCCCAGCTATTCCAGTCCTGAGCACGTTGCAGGGCCATGGACTCTGATTCCAAGGCCAGAAGAGACCACTCCGATCATCCAGTCTGGCTTTCCATACAGCACAGGCCAAAGAACTTCCCCAAATCAAATCTTAGAGCAGATCTTGCAGAAAAACAGCCACTCTCAATTTTAATATTGCCCATGCTGTGGAACCCACCATACCCCTGAGAAAATTTTTCCAGTGGTTTTAATTACCCTCATTGCTAAGCATTTAAACGTGCTTTCCAGTCTGAATTTGTCTGGTTTCAGCTCCCAACCATTGGAAGCAGTCCACTCCAAGACAAGGTACAATATTGTTTTCGAGTTTGCATTGCATTGCTTTGCTGCTAGAGATATGATCCTTTATTTAGTGCTGCACTGTGTTTATGATGCAGCACCAATGTTCTCTTTAATTTTTTCCATCCATGTGCAGAATAAATTTTGTTATGTGCACTGAGGCATATGCAGATGTGTACTACCAATAGAAATACATGCTGCTGGCTATGGGACATTGTGGATGCTATTCTAATCAGCTAGGAGGCATTTGAATCGCTCCTGGGCGGTGTCCCAAGCCCCTTGCTTACGGAGAACACTGCCCATCACAGACAGCATCCAGGGGAGGATACACTGTGCAGTGGATATTTTGGCACGGACACAAACTGGTTAAACTTCAGTTCCAATCCAGCCCATATGGTAGTGAACAACAGACATTCCCGTCTGATGGCTGTACAGAGGCATCTGTGACATGAGTTGGGTGGGGTCTCATATCCAATTCCAAGAGGACAGGGGTCCAAGTCTCCCTGCTGATCAGCTCAGCAGAGAAGACCAAGATTGAAGTCCCCTCCAGTGCAAGAGCTGGGGAAGACTGGATGAGACAGACAGGCGGGACAGGGAAAGGGAGGAAAGAGAGGAGGGAGATATTTGCACGGCTATTGCTCATGTTATGGGTGTCCTGTTGGGACAGATTTTCACTCTCCAAGGCTGTCAGTGCCGCACCTGTCTCCTGAATGATACTTTCACCTGCTCCCCTGCAGTCATTGAGACAAATCATTACCTCAGTATCACCAACTCCCACAGCTTTGTCTCAAGTCTTGTGATACTTGGTGCTTTTCTTAAAGCCTCAGCTCCTGGAGTCCCGTGATGACATGAGACGCTCAGCTTGCTTACATTCTCTTTTTAAAGTAGGTTTCTAGCTTTCCTACCTGCAGAGAGAAGCCTGAAAAACAAACTAAAATGGATCAAATCAGAAGGCAACGAAAAATAACCCCCAACTTATTATTTGTAAAGTTCGTTTTAAGCCAATCTCATAATTCTGGAGGCCTGATTCCGAATGTTCAAAGGCTTAAGGTTGGTAACACAGTTTTGCAAGGGGATTAGTTTTCTCCTGCCCCTAGAGAAAATGGAAATTTACCCCTGAATAGATGCTCAAAATGGAAATATCAAATGTAACAGCAGTGGCAAAGATGGGCAAAGCTGAGTCCACCTACCGGGCTACTGGAGGGGCCAATACAGATGTGACTGTTGCTGCTTCAGGGAGGAGGCTGGCTGCAGGTGAAAGGGATCTTTTGGTGGATGGCCAATGATAATCCAGCCCCACCAGGGTATATTTCCCAAGAAGCCCAAAGGCCACAGGGTTCTTGATCAACCCTTGCAGGCCCACTCTCCCCAGCCATGGCCAGCTTTACACACGTTTCCACACAGCTGGAGGGAAACCCCAGCTGCAGTCCTAAAAAATAACAAATAATAAAAGTGGCTGTGAGCTACAGCGGGGCTGGCAGGAAACATTCCCAGTAGCACCTGCTTCCTGAGTGCGACATTTATTTGATCCCCTGGCACCATCTGGGCCATGCCCCACTCTTTGTTTTCATTAAGAGTTTAGAAAAACAATTCAGCTTTGACTAATTGCTCTTTAAGGCATTAGACTTACCCTGTCTCCTCCCCCCAACTTCCTCTCCCACCCCATTATCCTCATTTGATGCCCTTTCCCATTTCCCCCTTTTCTGTCTCTTTGCTCCTCCCACCTGCTGTTCCCCAGGACACACAAAATCCTCTGAGCTTTCATTTCCTGAAAAGCCCCCTTTTGCCTCCAAACCAGCTAGCCAAGAAGAGCAGGGCTGTAGGGTCTCTATAAACTTAAACATAAGAGATTTCTCTGAATTCCAGGATGGTCCCTTCCCTGCCCTTGAAGTCAGCGGCAGCACAAAAGCACCAGCCTATTACAACATGTCAGATGAATCACAATATGTCGTGGCTCAACAAGGAGTTATTGCTGTGGGTGGGGAGCAATCAGAGGTCAATGTTAATTTACTGCTGAGTCTCTATACAACTGGGCATGGCCCCAGAAGCATTTTGCTTTGGGAACAAACTGATATTACTACATAGTGCTGGAAAGGGAGCCATTCACTCATGATCCACAGCTGATTTTTGGGTCCACATCATCTTCCCTGGAAAATAAGTGAGGAGCTAGAAGCCTTAATTAGCAGCCTGCAATCTTTGCAGTGGCCGAGAGTTGGTGGTGCAATTGTTAATCCTTGGGACTTGTGTGATCCCCATATCCTCACCTGATGGGTTTAGCAGGATCAACCACAAAGACAAAGAAGCAGAGGAATTCCGGCTGCCTGTTGACATTTATTGTGAATACTTTGCAATGGCAGTATCCCTCCCTAATTACCCCAGCATGTGGATCTACAGACAATTCATGCTCATGTAATTAGCAGATTGCAAATGGCATTTTCCCTCTTGGGCTTTGGAACCTCAGTGCAATATTGATAGTGTCTCTCCCTTTTGCACATCAGTAGCCCCTTCTGCCTGAGATCTCAAAACACCATTTAGCATTTCTACTCCCACTTTCCAATCCAAAAAGAGACAGTGGCCCTGTGTCCTTGCTCATTCCTAACAGTCACTTCCTGCTGCATGATCCCTGTGACTATTTGGAGCACAGGGACTGCTGGGGAGCTGGGATTTCCTTCCCTGGAAACACAGCAGGCTCAGCTTTTCTGTTTTCTCATAGAGGCCTGTGTAACTAATTACCGTTCTGTTTACACCACATGATACGTGCCCACAGCTAAACAGACATGAAAGCGCTGCTTTTCTCAGTCCTGGAATCAGAGTCAGGCATGCAGTGGCATAGGTTAACCATCACAGCGAATAATGTTATACCTTCTTCTGGGCACAGGGTCCCGTTTGGATTCCAGACTTCTCTGTGTGCCACCACTGCCTACATCTGGGGCCTGGTGTCCCAGCTTTCCAGTGGAAGAGAAATGCAAGCTCTGGGCAATGTTCCCTCTAATTTTTTCCATCTGTATGCAGAATAAATTTTGTTACGTGCACCACCAGTAGAATCATGTGCTGCCAGCTGTGGTTGCTCTGCTAATCAGCTGGGCAGCATTTGATGCTTCCCTTGTGACTATTTAACAAAAGGAAAAAGCACAAATTTCAAGACTGACTCTCCAAGCCAAGCCTTCCCTCACTGGCCACTTTCAGCTTTCCTGTCTCCCACAAGGCCTGCATTGTCAGATCTGGCAATTTCAGAGTTTCAACACATAAAGCTGAACAAAACAAGTGAGAGCTCCCTGAAATACAACAGCCACATGAGCAGTCAATAGCACAGGGTCTATGAGAGCAGATTGTGCCCGACAAACTAGAGAGCATTTTTCAGTCTAAGTGTAAAAGTTAGTGAGTGGCTGAGTACAGCCATTGGATTGGTTTGGAATTAGAAAAAATTAGATCAAAATAGACTTGAAAATGACATCTTGCAACAGAGTGAATGCTGGGTTGGGCTCATAAGGAGAGAGTGATTATTTTGAATGAAGCTGGGATGGAGCCTCCAGTGGGGTCCCTCACAAGGCAGTGCAGAGTCCAAGTTTGTTTACCTACCTTCATTCATGACCTGGAAGAGAAAGTGAATGGTACATTGACAAAGTACATGAAGCAAAGGTGAGTTCCAGAAATGCAGGCAGAAGGAGAGAGAAATTGCAGGAAGTAGCCAAATCAGACTGAACCTGAAGAATTCAAGAGACTTCAGGTGCTGGAAAAATATTCCAAAGCACAGATATGTAGTGGGAGGAAAGTGTTTGGGAAGCCCTGTGATATATCAGACTGCTAGACACCAAAAATCATGGACGGAACAGAGACACGAGCTTTATGGCTTATTACAATTTTCTGTGACCCACTCACCTCTTCTTTTTGCCCTATGACTGCAGAGATGTTAATGGGTCAATTTACCTTGAATGATTCCTTACATTCAAACTACTTACATCGAACTGTGTGTTGCACCTTGCATTTTGCTGTGACACTGGGGGTACATCTAGACTACATGGCTCCGTCAACGGAGCCATGTAGATTTGTTTGTTCGGCAAAGGGAAATAAAGCCGCGATTTAAATAATCGCGGCTTCATTTAAATTTAAATGACTGCCCCGCTCTGCTGATCAGCTGTTTGTCGGCAGATCAGGGCAGTCTGGACGCTCCCTTGTCGACATGAAAGCCCTTTATCGACTTCCCCGGTAAACCT